ATATATATCTTTTCATAAAGCCATCTGTGTGAGCAGCGGCACGTCAGTCATGTCGCTCAATCTCTCAAGGTACCGCCCGAGGGACGACGGCATCTGAACGCCCCTTATCAACGTCAGCCCCCGTAACCGCGAGAAGAAGAAGATGTCATCGTAACTCAGGCCGTGACCCGACACGTGCTGCTCCGACGCAATCAGCCCCTCAACCCCTCTCAGCGCCTCGTTCAGCTTCCTCACTGATTGTCGCTGTCAGCAAAATAGTACTCGTAGGTCAGGTCCCGGTGCTCCTTGGGCAGGCTCGCCCAGTCGGCCTTGGACAAAGTCTCGCCGCTCTCAGGATCCTGCACACACGGTCATGGCCATCCATTGGTATGAGAGGGGTGCGGTGCATCAGATCATCAGGCCTGCTTACGGGCAGCGGGTGTGTCGTCACGAACCTCTCCCGGGCGCTCTGAGATCGGAACTCAGGCAGCACTGCCGACCTAATGTAGCGAGGCCGTCCGAGGTTGCGCATTGGCGATGAGATGCTCTTGATCCATGAGTCGATGTCGGATCTATCGGTTGCCGGCTTGAGCACCGGAGGCCCGTACCTACCGTCGTTCTCGACTCGCGCAATGATGTCAAGAGACTCAGCCTGCACACACGCGGTGCGGTCATTCCATCCAGCAGCACCCCAGCCAGACACATGGCATCCACCCCCTCCGTCCGTACCATTGCAGGCTCATTTGGGAACTGGACGATGGGCGTAATCTTCTTACCCACCAGCTCCATCGCTGACGACCAAATCAATCATCGATGAGTTCAGCGATTTGACTCAACAAAACACATACACCCCTGACAGCAGAGACTCAGCGAGGAAGCCTCGTCGTCGCTCCCCTTACGTGTTTCTGCATCATCCTCCGCCACCCAAATCATCCTGTAAGGCACCTTCTTGAGGCCGAGAGCCATGCGGCAGCGCAGCGTATAGTGGCTATGCTCGTACCCGAATCTGCAGCAAAACAAAAGCACGGGATCTAACAGCCAGCCATCAGTCGAGGCGTTCGTTCTACGGTAGTACTTCTACCTACAGGCGTGGCGCGCCAGGCGGCATGTTCTCGAGGCCTGGCGTGAAGGCGAGAGCGAGAGCGAGGGAGGGGAGAACCATGACAAACACGAAGGCGTCCATCATATATATGGGGAAGGTGGATCGGCTTCCCCTTTAAGCTCGTGAATGGCCAGGAATCGCCGCTGGTGATTTTCGGGCATCACAGTCAGCCGCAGAGGTCACGGAGCATTTGTCCGGGGATCAGCAGCCGTCAAGTCAACAAGTCCCACCTTTCCTCTGCACTACGGCATGCCAACCGCCGTCCTACAGGGCCCACCGTAGCCAAGGGCCCTGAATCGAATCACACGCCCGCGGCCCGCCTAGTAAGTAAGTACACAACGCACAGCACACACACATCTATCTATCTGTCTGTCTGTCTATCGACAACAGAAAAACTGCAGACCGACACCTCCGCTCCTGCAGGCTGCCCTGGTGCGGTGGATGCCATGCGCACGCGACACCACACCAGCCATAAAGGCAAACAAATAAATACAGCCACAGAAGATTAGATTGTCCGTCTGTCTGGGCGCACGAACCGAAGGCATGAAAGGATCAGATAGAAAAAGGACTGTCGTTCACTCGCCGATGGATCCACCATGGGTGTTCTCATCACTGCTGCCGGCCTGCCTCAGTAGCCGCCGCTGTGCTGCTGCTGCTGGGCCCACGTAGCACAGCTCACCAGGAGGCACACAAATGCCCAGCGACCGATTGCAACACACCAATCCTAATACAAACGACACACAACGATACAGCGCACAACGATACAGCGCACGTCTACACACATGGGGAGTCTGTCTGTCTGTCTCTCTGTCTGATCGCTCACACACACACATACCGTAACTGCACACGGTGCCTTCTCCGCAGTCGTGTGGCCCCGTCATAGCCATCGGCCCCGTCGCGGATGTCTCCGCCAGGCCACACATGAGGTAACGGTCGCAGGGGTCCTCGCGGCACTTGTCTGGGCAGATGACGGGAGGCGCCCTGTGGCACTGGCTGCACCGCAGCTGACACTCGCGGGGCATGCCGATGCAGTACGACGCGTCATGAGCTGCACGCATGAATCAGCACAACAGACAGGGCTTAATGAATGGCCAGGGGCGAGTGTGGTGTGTTGGACGCTCTCCTTCGTGCCTACGTCGGTCCTCCACCGGCGGTCTTGGCCCCTCTGCTGCAGCAGGTGGACCGATTTCTCCCTCTGCCGCCCCCCCAGTAGCAGCTGGTCTCCCCTGCCGGCTCGGTGCATCGTTCGTGGCATTGCTGTTGCTGCCGGAACTCATGGGCGCCGACACCCTCTCATCCCCCCTATCGCCAGCACTATCACCTGCGCCTCCTTGGCCTTCGCCTACCACGGTCCACTCGCCGTTATCAGCAAAGGTCGAGCTGCCACCGCCACCAGGGGCAGGGAGGACGCCACTCGGTGGCGGTGACGTCACGTCAAAGCCTTCATCTCGTTGCTGCAGCATCCTCTCTCTCCGTTGTCGGCGGACGGAGTCGGTGAAGGTGTGTGTGTACGTGTCGATCTCGATGCTCGTGGCGGCCTGGATGGGCGAGGCCATGTCGTCAAACACTAGGTCAGGGTCAGCGTAGAGCTCCAGACAGGGCGCGTAGCCGATGCACTCGCGGCACTCGGGGTGGGCATAGCACGGGTGCAGAAAGGCCGGCAGGGGTGGGGTCGGCTGCGGGGCAGAGAGGTCACACATGGAGGTGCAGTCGTCGCATTGGGGAGGCACACGCCCGCAGTCCAACACCTCCGCTGATGACACAACTGCAGGCACCAAAGACTACCAATACAGTCACAGGCAGACGATGTGCAGTTCCACTGCCCTGGTTACCTACCGTGCGACGAGCAAACCACCAGGAGGAGTACAGGAAGACAACATCGAGAAACAAGCGAGGAGATGTGGTTCTTCATTGCGATTGGTGCAGGCCCTCCCGGTGCTTCACAGCACTGCGATAGATAGATACTGGAGATGCGATAAATGCGATAATGGCCTTTTTGGATGAGTGTGAGAGATCTCCTCCTGGGCCGCGATCCACTCAGGCGAGCTTGGCGCGCAGACGGAGGAAACTAGCACGAAGGTCTAGGGTTTGGGGAAGAATAAGGGAAGGAAAGCAACGTACCGGGAACACGCCACCGGAACCTCGAGGGGCATGCAATACATGAAGCGTCGACAGCCCTTCAAAAGAGCCGTCTATTCCGAGACACAAGACAAGTCAGCATGTACATTAACATCATGAACAGACACGAGAGCTGTTTATTCAGACACACAAGACACGCCACTATGTATAACACTACCATCATGGACAGACCCGCGAAAGCAGACACGCACTGCTTCTCTATTCAAGTCAAACTGTCTGGGGAATAGCATTATGAA